GGAATTTTGGCTACCTGAAGCTTTATGTTGGTCTATAAATATAGAACATTCTTTATGTTTCAGTGAATTGGATTACAAAGAGAAGATGGAAACTGCTAGCATAAGTAGTTTATTTTATCTTGGTTGAACTTTATTGACACATTTCAGGTGGTACGGTACCATTCCCTTGTAATAGACCCGAAATCACTTCCAATCTTGTGGTGAAATACACGCACTTGACACGTGTATTTCACCATTTAATAAAAAAAAATTAAAAAAAGGTTCTCTTCCTTCCTCTTCCTTTCTTCCCCAATCATTTCTTCAACCCTAACTATAATAAACACCATTTTTTACCTCAATAAATTTATATATCTCTAACAATTTATAAAAACAAAAATTCAAGTAACCTTTTCATCTACTCCGAATCTCTAGAGCTTAGAAGATAGCGTATCTAATCAAATCTTTCATCCAATCAATTCAACAATTTTTCCAGATTTTTTTACATTTTGTTTGATTTATTTCCTTGGACAATTTCAGATACATATTAAATGGGTCATGAACATTCGAGATCAGATTCATCGCCTGAAGATTCCGTCGACAACTCAAAATCATCGCGGATGAGAAGACCAATTTGAGACCAATTTGAGAAACCTCTCTCTCTTCCCCATTCTTTATTCTTTCTCCCTCTAAAATTTTTATGATTAATTTATAATTTGAGTTTTCTATTTTGATTCTTCATGGGTTTTAGGAGAACATGTAGGATTTTTCTTTTAAAATGTAGAAGAAATTGTTTTGTTTTAGTTCCTTTTAATAAGTTTGAAAATACTTTTTAAATATACAATTACTTCACTTTGATTTTGTTACTCTCGAGTCCATGACTTTAAAAAAATTAATTGATGGGTATGTTTTTTTTTAAAAAAAAAATTAACTTGTTAGATATGTTTTAAATAAGTCTATTGAAAAATTATTTATTCATAAAATGCATTAATTGTTGATAATTTTTATACCATACATCCATTGAAAAAAACTTCAACAATGATAATGGTGAAAAATGTATAGTTGTATAGATAAATAAGAAGAAAGAAAGAGAAAGAAAAAAGAAAATTAGAAAAAAAAATGGAAATTAAAAACAATATAAGGCAACTCACTCTCACAAAGAGAGTGAAATACACTCTCTATGTCAACTCAGCACTTAAGGGGTTATTTATTCCATTGTAAAGTAGTTCAGGGGGTAATATGACTCCCGCGAAGAATAGGTGTGTTGTTGGAAATCCGATAATAGATTGGGGGGTCATTTGGCCATTTTCTCCTTAAATGTATGTAACGAGATCCCAATGGCTTAATGCATTAAAGGGAGATATCAGACTTTTGTAGAGCGCGGTCACTTGAAATAGCTAGTTTAGCCTAAAGATTTGGAGGAAAGAGTAAATCGCAACTAGTAAGACCTACCGTTCATCAACTATATAAGAAGCACTATCCCATAAATTAATTACTTTATTAATTTTGAAAGCTCAAAAATAGTACCCCCTAAGCAACTCTTAGAATGACAAGACCTCCTATGCAAAAGGTCATACATAGAAAATTTTATTTTAATTTCTAGTGCTCACATGTAATGACACAATTTTTACCTGCAAGCGCCAACATTTACGATATCCATCAATCGTAAACTTAAGTGAATAGGAAGATTAAGTACATCAACGTGCACCAAACCTGACACTTACATCTATGTAGATATTACAAATTGGGGTCCCAAGGATCTGATTGAAGATGTTTGAGATTATTTCAGATTATCACTGCCTAAACCGATCCCAAATAGTGAGAAGTAAACCAGTCTTAGGGTTGGGTAACTTTTCAAAAAAAAAAAAAAGTCTTAGGGTTGGGTAATATGCTTTAATGTTCAGAAATTTGAGTTTCAATCAAATTGAATCAAATAAACCTACATTACAAAATTCGTTGCTCCTAATAATCAAGGCCAAAACAACAAAGGTAGAAAACACCATTTTCTTAAGATAACTAAGTCAAACCCACATGAAGCAACAAGTAAAAGCTAAACACAAATACCTACTAAAACTTCTTTTCTTGAGAACACATACCTACTAAAACTTCTTTTTTTTGAGAAAGGATACGTACTAAAACTTCTATTATCTTAATAACACCTAATTAAGATAGTGCAGAGAAAGAGAACACATCTATTTTGTTATTGCACTGATGTGTTGTTACTACAGATGAAGAAGAATGTAATTCAATTTGACCTCCAAGCTTATATTGTTAATTGTTATAAAGGAACTATTTGATAAAACTAAAATTTCAAAGTCCAACCTCTGAAAGTTGATATTTGTTTATTTTTTTAAGAAAAGGTCAATGTTTGTTTGGGTAACTTCTCAAAAAAAAGTCTTAGGGTTGGGTAATATGTTTTAATGTTCAGAAATTTGAGTTTCAATCAGATTGAATCAAATAAACCTACATTATAAAATTCATTTCGCCTAATAGTCCAAGATAAAACAACGAAGGTAGAAAACTTCGTTTTCTGAAGATAACTAAGTCAAACCCATATGAAGCAACTAATAGCTAAAACACAAACACCTACTAAAAATTCTATTATCTAATAACACCTAATTAAGACGGTGCAGCAAGAGAGAGAGAACACATCTATTTGTTACTGCACTGATGTGTTGTTACTACATATGACGAAGAATGCAATTCAATTTGACCTCCAAGCTTATATTGTTAATTGTTATAGAGGAACTATTTGATAAAACTAAAATTTCGAAGTCTAACGTCTTAAGGTTGATATCTATTTTATTTTTTTAAGAAATGGTTGATGTTTATTAAACTGAATAATTCAGCTGAAACATTAAGATGCATTGTCTGAACAATACTTTTGAATGTATGACTTAGTTTTTTCCTTCTATGTACAGAAGAAGGAAACTCGAAACCAAAACAGTAAATTATGTTGAATTCTTAGTATCTGACATACCTATAAGCTTTTATATAATTATATCTTTTCAAAGGGAGCATTAAAGGAGTCCTAAGCAGCTGGAATAGAGATGGAAATGCTTCTGATAAGGAGAAGAAATGGAAACTTGTCCCAGCATGTATTTGGTGGACAATTTGGACAGAGAGAAACAACGGGAGTTTTGAAAATGGGCAGAATAGCTTACAGAAGAACAAGATGAATTGCTTAGCTCTTTTCTATTTTTGGTGTAAACAAGATATATTAACTAGGGAAGAAGACATCTTTGATGTGCTAGATTGCTTATAGGTAGCAGTTTAGATTAAGACTGTTTTACACTGTAAGTTGTAATACTTTTGAAGGGGAACTGCACTTTTGTTGTAATATACATGTGGATATATAGACTAAAGTTACCAGTTTAAAAAAAAACAATATTTTTGTATTAATAACCTATCATATTACTTGTTAAAGACATGTTATATCGATAGAAATGGTTATTTTTAATTTTAGTTATGAATCAAATTGTTTTCACTTCAAATTTGTAAAGCATTTTAAGTGGAATATATTGCATCCAACTTTAAGTTCCAAATAGGGTTAGTGCACCCAAGGGTGTGACCTAGTGGTCTATAGGGTGAGTTGAGAATCATGAGGTATCAGGTTCAAATCCCAACAAAGATTAAAAAAAAACACTAAATGATTTATTTCCCTCTGTCGTATCCTTGATGGACAGAGCTAGCGGGTACTTGTGGAAGGTGGCATGTATCCCGTGGAATTAGTCGAAGTGCACGCAAGCTGACCCGAACACCACGATTATCAAAAAAAAAGTTCCAAATACAGTTAAATAGACAACTTGTGATAGTGAAGCAGCTAGAAATTAGATACTTGTTGTTTTATTGCTTAATTAACATTTAAGGGAAAGTTTTTACTTTATCAATTAAGTATCCGAGTCCAGCCAAAAAAAAGTAAGAGTCGTGCACAGATGGAGGTTCTCATTAATGGATCAATAAAGTACAAATGTAGGTGGAAGGATAGCGGTCCAATTAACACGACGACGGTTACAAGATAGAGCATTTATAGTGAGGTAATCTAAAACTTAAACATAACAAGATCCCAACTGAGTGACACATTAAAAGATATCTAACTTTTGGAGAGTGGAGTCACTTGAAACAGCTGGCTTAACCAAACGGCGTTGGAGGAAAGCGAATAATAGCAATTAGTATGAGCCCATAGTTCATAGTTGGAACTTGTACTCATTGTATTCATATAAAGAATATTAAAATGATTTTATATGTAGATGATTATCAGAGAAAAATAGAACGAATTAAAAAGTTTTTAGACAAAGACACGTATACAAACCAAAATTTAGATGTCGTTTCTGTAATGTAGGTTAAAACTGTTCTAGCTGTATTCCCCAGGGTCGATAGGATTGATGATTACGTCATACATCAAAGTGAACACAAAGAACATGAGTAAGGTGGAGATGAGGACTGTGTATACTCACAAATTTACAATGAACTGAATAGATGCCTACTTACAATTTTAAGCAAATTTAATTGACTCTCAAGTTCAAATATCTGAGCTTATAGCTTGATCCCAGTACAAGAGGCTTATGATTTAAATATGGAAGTACGCCTATACAATAACAACATACCAGTGAAATCCCACAAGAACTAAAACTAAATATAAAACTAAAAACTGTAATCACATAGAAGCACAAGTGGCAGTTCGATATAACCGAGGTGTATAACCAAATAGTATTAGTGGGAGTCTTTCATACATAGGAGTTCATTCCAATCACACTATTCCCCTTACCTAGTCAGTTGTCCACCATACAACCAAAAAAACAAAGGTCAAGCAGTCCAATTTTAACATAATTTATTGGCAAATTAGGATAATTTGAAGCAGAGTTTCAGTATTTTTCCATGTAAAGTATCAGAACAAGTAAATTCCTCAATGTAGCATCAATAAGCAAAAAAATGGAAATTAAACCTAAATTGAGAATTTGCAAAAGCAATTAAGAAAAAAACAATCAAAATATTAAATAATCAGAAGGGGGATTCGAATATACCCAATAACGAAGTGAAAGGAACTCCACAGGATTTTCCAAAGGCGAACATCCTAAACTTATCTCTTGGGCTGCTTTGATCTGGGCCGTTTCCGGATCTTCACGAGAATCTGGGTCAGAAACACTGATCGCCAAAGCCAATTGAACCTGAAACTCCTCCTCAAAGTAATTAAAATCAGCAGAATCAGAAGCCGAAGCCGAATTCATCTCAGGGACTCTGGGCAATGCTGCTGATGCCGGCGTCGTTTGAGGAGACAAAGATGAAGTTGACCCAGATTGTTCAAACCGGTTAGTTTGCTGATTCGGATCAAGTACAGGAAGTGGTTGATGAGTAGGAGAGGTGTGATGAGGGGCAAGGTGAGGAGGATTATCGGCCACACCACCGCCGATATGAAGTTTCCTGAGTAAATGCTTCATTTTGGACATGGTGAAGTATCATGGAAGGGAGAGAATGAAAAAAGACTCAATATTTGTGAGAGAATTTGGGGATACGGGCAAAGAGGGTGGGTATAAAAAGGGGGGTGGGGAGGGGGGCGATGGAAGGGGGAAGAAGGAAGATTCGGTTAACTTTGTACAGTTCTTGCCTTCTTGGTTGCTAGTACAAAACTCTTAACTCTTCTTCTTCAAGCTAAGGAGAGAGAGAAAAAGGGGAAAAGGGATGGTGGTGGAATTAAATTAACTGCTCCATATTTTTATTTTCTCTCTTCCCTCCAATAAGAGTTGCTACTATAGTTCATACATGTCTTATTAAAATTGAAGTTAAATACACTTGTTTTTAGGAGCAGGGGTGTTCACAGTTTGGATAAAAATCGATTCAAACTGAAAAATTAAATTAAATCAAATCGATAAAATAAAACCGATTTTATTTGGGTTTGGTTTGGTTTTAGATTTTGGAAAATCGGTAGTATTTGGTTTGGTTATGGTTTTATTCGAAAAAAATCGAAGAAATAACCGAACTGAATCGATGAATTATATACATATATTTTATTAATATATATACTTAATATATTATTTTTATAAACAATTTTAAAGATCTTATACATATTTTCATTAAAATTTCTTTATAATTTACTTATTGAAAGCAAAAATGCCCAAGATGAAACATTTAT